ACACAGCACATAAACCATGTAGCTGCGTACGTTCTACAGAATATACACAGAGCACACTAACCATTTAGCTGAAGTGTTTACTGTATATCACACAACGCCAAATAGTGATGAGCTGACAGCGTTTACAGTATATCTACACAGAGCACACGTTAAACATTTAGGGCCTCATTACAGTTATCTAAGCAGAGCACTAAACCATTAGCTGCACACCGTTACCCGGATATATCTAACAAAGCACACTAAACATTAGCGAGCCATTAACTGTTATCTCAAGATGCACACTAAACCATTAGCTGCAGCGTTACACTATTTAGCTAGACAGAGCACATAAACATTTAGTGCAATGTTAACAGTATATCTACTACAGAGCACACTAAACCATTAGCTGCTTCATTTACAGTATATCTCACAAGCTACACTAACAATGAGGCAGCTTACATGTATTTACAAGAGACACCAAACACTTTAGCTGCAGCGTTTCAGTGTATTCTAACAGAGACACTAAACAATTAGCTGCAGCATTTACAGTATATCACACAGAGCACACTAAACCATTTAGCTGCAGCATTTACGGTATATCTAAACACAAGCACACTAAACCATTTAGCTGCAGCGTTTACAGTATATCTACACAGAGCACACTAAACCATTTAGCTGCAGCGTTTATGGTATATCTACACATAGCACACTAAACAGCTTAGCTGCAGCATTTACATAATCAACACAAACCATGAACCAGTTTACAAACACACCACAACACACACACACACATACCACACAGCACCGTACACTAAAACATTTCACTTGTTCTACCTTGTAGTATGTGTCTTATTTGTTACCAACACAACTACCTCACTGGACGTACGTATACGAGTCAATAACTTTGGCTGTCTACGACACACACACACAACACAACAACACCAACACCAACGTACAGGCTATATTACAGCAACTACAGTTCAGTAGGTTAGTACAAGGTGAATGAGAGTGACTGGAGTTAAGGAATAGTTATAGCAGGTCTAGGACTGACCATATGAAAACATCACACACACACATGCACACATAACACGACAAACACACATACACCAATACTAACACACAACACACTAACCAATACACACATACACACATACAGTATATAACCATTACTCTTAGGGTCCCAGCATTAAAAGCTCTTAAAAGGACTGCTTATGTTAGTATAATAACCGACTCTCTGCCTTTAGTGCTTCATAGCCCAGATCACAAACAAACACACAAACACATAACACACACCACACACTACACAAACAAACACACACAACACATTACCCACACACACAACACACCAAGCACACAACACCACACCACACACCCACACACAACACACACACACAACCGACCAGCCATGGCCACTGGACTTAAGTGGAGACCTGACAGCACGAAACCAGTTATCTGCTATGCTTTGTTGTAGACACAAACCCATCAAAACCATCGACTGTACAGCACATAAACAGACAACACACACACCGACAGACAGTACAAACACACAACACACACAACATATGCTGTGGAGCATAATATCACACACCAGGTTTAAACCATTGCTTAAAACGTTGATTGTATTGCTACAGAGATTGCCAGTAGAGCTTTACAAGCCACCCGTCGGCCATATTGTACCACGCCCGATGAAGCATTTTCACTTCCTAGATAGAATGTGTTCTCTTTTTCATTACAGTTTCAAGAAAACTCTCCTAAGGGACCGGTACTGGAGTAATGTCTCTGGGCTGTCACACACACACACACACACAACACACACACAAACACACACACACACACACACACACCACAACACACACACACACACACACACACACTCAGGGCTGTCAACCTAGGTCGTTAAGGTTACGAGGTTGGTAATGAGAGTGACTGGAGAATAGAGGAATTAGTTTATAGCAGAGGTCTTAGTGGACTGACCATATGAAAACATCACACACACATGCATACACACATACACACACATACACACATACAGTATATATTCACACATACTCCTTAGGGCCCCAGCCATATGAAAGGCTCTTAAAAGGACTGCTTTTATGGATGTAATAATCCTGCTCTCTCTGCTCTCTCTCTCTGAGCCCAGACACACACAAACACACACACACACACACACACACACACACACACACACACCCACACCCACACACACACACACACCCACACACACACACACACACCCACACACACACCCACACCACACACACACACACACACCCACACACACACACACACACACACCCACACACACACACACACACACACACACACACACACACACACACACACACAACCGCACCCAGCCATGGCCACTGGACTTAAGTGGAAGACCTGACAGCACGGAGGCTATCTGCTAATGCTGTGTTGTAGAGCACAGAACCCTATCACACACACACTGTACAGCACACACACACAGACACACACACACACACACACAGACACGCACACACACACACACACACACACAGACATGCTGTGGAGCACATAACTATCACACACCCAGGGTTTAAACCAGTGATGTATATAAACCATGGATTACTGATGCTATGTATTGGCCAGTGAGAGGCTTTGAAGCCACCGGTCGGCCATATTGGTTCTCCCCAGTAGGAGCAGTCCTCCATAGGAATGAATGGAATTTTATCATGTATTTCAATTAAATGTTTCAAGGAGAAAATTACATCTATTTAAGTATTTTTTTTTTGATATATTGGGGACAGTAACATTAGTAATCTCAAAAAATTATACTTTTAGGAAAACGTTTTATTATGTTTTTCTATTATAATTTTTATATTTAGCTCATGTAATATAATTTAAAGGAATGTATTAAGGTGTCTGTAATAGAATGAACGTGGCGAAAAAAATGAATGTAGACATGAATAAGTGTCAAGATGGAGGCACGTTGGCTTCAACACAGCGCCCCCTATCAGTCGTCCAATGTATATATAACTAATTGGTTTAAACCAAGCACCACAACTAGAGTAAAGGTTAGGGCCTGAGCTTCCCACAGCTCAGACAGTAGCAGACCCATTGTTACAGAGCAACACAGCCTGCTTACCATCCACACTGTGTTTGCCCTCCTGTAGCGCAGTTGGTAGAGCATGGCGCTTGCAACGCCAGGGTTGTGGGTTCGATTCCCACGGGGGGGGGGCCAGTATGAAAAATGTATGCACTCACTATAACTGTAAGTCGCTCTGGATAAGAGTGTCTGCTAAATGACTAAAATGTAAATGTTTGTGTATCAACTGTGTGTGTTTACCATCGACACTGCAACACAACAGTTACCCAAGTGTGTGTGTGTGTAATTAGATAACGCAGGGAGTTGTTCTCTAATGCCGCAAATCAAATGAACTAAAGATGCCACATTGATTTCTTTGTGTTGCCTAAATTATTAATCTTCACTTGCACAGAGCCCCAGCCGTCCAGCCAGCCAGCCAGCCAGCCAGCCGTCCAGCCAGCCAGCCACCACAAAGCATAAAGAACTAGTCTGCCCCAAAGCCCTTTAGTTCCTTAATGTGTGCATGGATTTGAGAGATCTCTTGTGAATTGAACAGAGGACCTAGTTACCTTTTATATAGTTTGTGCCGTTGCAATTTGGTAGATTGATCCTAATGAGGTAACGGGGGGGGGGGTCCAGAATGGCACCCTGTTCCCTATATAGCTAGTGCACTACTTTTGGGGCCATAGGGTGTAGGGTGCCATTAGGGACACAACAGGGGCCATTTGCAGTGTTATGGATGGAGATGCCAGGAATTCCCACTAAGTAAGATTGACCTGGTCTCTCTGATTGGTTCTACTCTGTTCTATTCTCTGAGCTGCTGGTAGAATTAATAAACTACTGAGGGGATGGAGGGAGAAAAGAGAGAGAGAGAGAGAGAGAGAGAGAGAGAGAGAGAGTAAATAACAGAGAGAGGGAGAGAGAGGTCAGCCTATTCTCCATTGACATCCTGTTCTGTTCAGTTCTCTGGCATGTAGCTGACGCTCTGACTGGGGGAGATCAATATGACCTTACCTCCACTGCCCAGCCAGGCGCTGCTCTGAAACCTAATTACTGATATTCAGCTACAAAGTCATCATAGTCTGCCTGTCAATATCCATCAGGGATCATTACTCACCTAATGAAATAGGTTATTTAGGGCTGCTTTGCTGACACCAGGGCTACAACAGGGGATTTGGCTCCAGCCATCTCAATTTGCCTCTCTCGCTCATTCTCTCTCTCCTGCTCCCAGCAGCACTGACCTGAAAAAAGAAAATTGACAGATAGGAGTATGAATTCTTCTGCTGTGGCTTTAATTCTGTTGGTTTTTGTGCTTGTAGCTTTTTCAACCACCAAACACCACACAGTGCCAGAAAAGCAATATAACAAAATCCCCAAATCCCAAACTAAGTTGGAGTCCTGGAAGCCACTGACTTCAGAACCACACCCAGGGATATTACATTACTATGAAGTACTGTACACTGACTTCAGAACCACGCCCAGGGATATTACAATACTATGAAGTACTGTACACCACACCCAGGGATATTACATTACTTGCACTCACTAACTGTAAGTCGCTCTGGATAAGAGCGTCTGCTAAATGACTAAAATGTAAATGTAAGTACTGTACACTGACTTCAGAACCACATCCAGGGATATTACACGTCTCTTAGTTCCTTAGGTCCTCATACACCCCCTTCAGTCGTTTCTTTGGTTTTGTTTTCCACTACATGAACTCTACACTCTCAAGGTTACAGTTGAGTGTTTATTCGTTCTCCGAAAACCCATTTCTCTCTACTGCAGCTAGAACCTAGCTCATAATAAACACTTCACAGAACTCTTCTCGTCCGAACTCCTACTCCCTCCCGACATTGTACAGCAAGCAGACAACAAGGAGAACTGTGATTGTGGGGGAATGCCATATGTTAATACACTCAATCAATCAATAGGGTCCTGTAATTGAAATGGGTACCCATATGGGTTAGCTAACAGTCAGCCAGCCAGCCAGCCAGCCAGCCAGCCAGCCAGTCAGCCAGCCAGCCAGCCAGCCAGCCAGCCAGTCAGCCAGCCAGCCAGCCAGCCAGCCAGCCAGCCAGCCAGCCAGCCAGCCAGCCAGTCAGCCAGCCAGCCAGCCAGCCAGCCAGCCAGCCAGCCAGCCAGCCAGCCAGCCAGCCAGTCAGCCAGCCAGCCAGCCAGCCAGCCAGCCAGCCAGCCAGCCAGCCTTCACTCCTCTCAAAAGAGAAACACTGACCCCTTCAGGTCAGTAGCGGTACTGCACACTCTCGCTGTCACGGTTTCACGGCCCCCACCACCACCCACTTTAGTGTTGATTAATAAGGTTAATTTTACATGAGGACACTGGATGTTAATGCTCACTGTGCCCCCTTGTCTAAGCAATTACCAGAGAGGGCAGAGCTGCTGTTGGGTTATCAAACACAACACGATGCCTCCTGAAGCTCAGCTAAAGCATGCTGACTATTCATACAGCAGGGCAGGGGTAGGCAACCATGGTCCTGGAGGGCCACAGCCACTTCATGTTTTTGATTTAACCGACCTGGAAGAAGACCAGGTGTGTTAAATTTAGCAAATCACTGAACTGATCAATTAGCTCAGTTGGTCAGGTGTGGTGCCTAGTTGGAACAAAATCCTGCAGTAGCTGTGGCACTCGAGGAACAGGGTTACCTACCCCTGCAGTAGGCTTTCTGTTTACTTTAGAAGCCTCCGGCGATGAGCAGACGTCCTGAAGACATCCTGGTTTTTGAGGTTGTTGATGGGATGGGGTGCACCAGACCTGAATTAAGAGGAACAGTGGTGGGGGTCAGGGAGTAGGGGGGATGCGGGGAGAGTAAGAGACAGACAGGGATGCCACTCCTTGTTGTCCCGAGAGAGAGAAGGCTAAAAGACGGATTTGTAATGTATTTAGACATACTGTGTGTACAAATTGTGGATTATTCTCTTGCTAGTCAACATCTTCATCCTCAGGGTAAAAATGGCAGTATCAAAATGTCAATAGTATAAGTGACAGACGATCTTCTACAGGGTACACACAGAGACCAGAGACTAACTCTCTCTCTTCTCTCTCTCTCTCCTCAGGGACCCCAACAAGCCTGTTCCTCAGGACACTAAGTTCATCCACACCAAGGCTAACCGCTTCGAGGAGGTAGCCTGGTCTAAGTACAACCCCCAGGACCAGCTGTACCTCCATATCGGCCTGAAGCCCCGCGTCAGAGACCACTACCGAGCCACCAAGGTGGCCTTCTGGAAACACCTGGTGCCCCACCTGTATAACCTCCACGACATGTTCCACTACACCTCTACCACCACCAAGGTAATGCTACCGCTCTTTAACTCACATCTCCCTTTCATTTCATCGGTTGACTGGAAAGTGTGTTGTGATTATAAATACACTTTCAAATAAAGTTTGATTTGATTTGATATGTGGTGATATGGTTGTGTTAGTTGAACTCACTGACTGTAAGAAGTCGCTCTGGATAAGATGTTAATGTAATATGTTTGATTTGAAGGTCCCCCCGTCAGAGACGACCCAGAACGCCCTGTCCACTAAGAAGACGTGGCCCTTCAACACCAAGCGGCCCCCCATGTCCCCGGCCTACAACAACGAGGATAATGAGGCGTGGAACGGAGACGAGGAGACCGGCCCGCTGGTCGTAGAGAACCCCAGGGACTACTCCACGGAGCTCAGCGTCACCATCGCCGTGGGAGCCTCGCTGCTCTTCCTCAACGTTCTAGCCTTCGCAGCGCTTTACTACCGGAAGGATAAACGGAGGGAGGCTTCGAGAGGTCGCCGCGGTCAACCCAGCCCACAGACCCGTCACGGCCAGGCTACATCCAACGACATCGGCCACCACCAGGGCCCCAACGAGGAGGAGATCATGTCCCTGCAGATCAACCAGACGCACCACGAGTGTGAGGCGATGGGGGTGGGGAACCCAGGCAATGACGGGGGGTTGCGTCTGGCCTCGCTTCCCGACTACACCCTGACCCTGCGGAGGTCACCGGATGACATCCCTCTGATGACCCCCAATACCATCACCATGATCCCAAACTCTCTGGTGGGGATGCCCAACCTGCACCCCTACAACACTTTCACAGCTGGGTTCAACTCCACCGGCCTGCCCCACTCCCACTCCACCACCCGTGTATAGCTTTAAGGAGGAGAGGGTGATGGTGGAGGAGAGGGTGATGGTGGAGGAGAGGAGAGGGTGATGGAGGAGGAGAAGAGGATTCTGTTTTATAAATATCACAGGGAAGGGGAAGGCAGGAATAAAAATAAAATAGATTTATCTAGACTTTTACTACCAAGAGGACAGAGAGTGGCTGAGAGGAGACGAGAGCTCTCTGCTTTCTGTGTGGATGTCAAGTTGTGAAGAGCTGCCAAAATCAAACTGCTACTCCTCCCTCCCTTGATTGGATGGGGCTGAGGAGGGAGGGGTCCATTCTGCTGTGTTTTTCTTCTAATAATCATTTAAAAAGCCTTTTTAAGCAGACTGACAGGGGAGATTATCAACACTTTGTTCTTGAATTCATAACACCAAGAGGAAAGTGTTTTGTCTTCCTCCTCTTCCTGAGGGAGACAGAACAGACGTTTCAAACAAAGGCCTCTACCAGGAAATCGGCATAATGTTAGTAGCTTTTTTTGTTTTGTTTCAATGCCTTACAAAAGCTTGTTTTGTTTTGATTTTTTTCTCTCTCTTAGTTTTTATTGTTCCCAGAGACTATTCCATGTGGAGTGTGTGACATTTTGACGTGACTCAAAAGACACAAGTGACTGGACTGAACTGAACTGAACTGGAACCAAGAGTATCAACTCTGCTGCAGTGCTGAAGATGAAGAGAATTAAAAAGCAACTACAGCCACACAGATGGTGGTATCTTTTTTTAGCTCCCATAGAGAGGATTTGTCTGGAATAGACTCTGCCATCCCAGATGAGACCACAGAGATAAAAACTATGTTACTGTGATTGTTTTGTTAAGGAGAAAAAAAGTGCATCTTTTGCAACCAATTAATCTGTTAAGCGATCTGATTTTATCTCTCCACAAAGTGTTTACCTCTACACTTACACTGCTCAGCGCACCTGTGTGTCGGTGTGCATATAAACATGGTTGTGTGTGTGTGTGTGTGTGTGTGTGTGTGTGTGTGTGTGTGTGTGTGTGTGTGCGTGCATATGTTTGCGTGTGTGTGTGTGTGTGTGTGTGTGTGTGTGTGTGTGTAAGCGTGTATGTTTGCACACCAGCGTATCCATGCACGTGTGTGTGTGCAGGTGTGTGTGTGCTTACACAACTGTTTTTGCGTTTGTAGGGCGTTTTATGTGGCGGGCGGGAGGGCGGGCGGGCGGGGGGGGGGGGGTGTTGAGGAGTTTCTCATATTGTTCATTCTGTTCTCTATCACCAGTGTTGTTTACGTTGCAGCTGCGTCTCTGGGTGTATGTCTTTACTGCGAAATAGCACTTTTGTTATTTAAAAAAAAAGTTATATGTCTAATTTTACTTAAAGATTACAAAAATAAATATATTATTTTACGTGTAAAAGAAAAAATAGCTAAAGATTCAACTGAACTAACTGACATGATTCCATTGACTTTGTAAGAAAGAGAGAATCTCTTGAAAAGCAGACAGTGGCCTGTTTGCACTGAATAAACTATATCAGTGCACACTTGTTTCTTTGAATATACTGTGTATATATATATAAATATGGGCATACATACATATACATATATGGCTTTTACAGAGAGATATCACTACCATGTAACTACTCTACTAGTAAACTACTGTTAAGCAGTGCAGAGAGGTAACTACAGTAGGTAACTAGTACTACTGTTAATATCAAACTGAAAGCACCACCAACATGTATGAAGGTCATTTCTGTGTATGGGCTTCATCATCGGTAACATCATGAAGCTGAACAACCGACCGCTCCAGGTGGCTTTGTACGAGCTCTATATGTATATATATGTATAAATATATTTAATATTTATTTATGTATACCAGACGCATAGATGCTGATTGTGCCATGTGCCAAATTAAAACCATAAAAATGGAGACGTTTCACTAAACTTTTTTCTTGTGCTGAAATTCTTTCTTTCTTTTTTGATGGAAATTCTGTTTCTCCTCTTCGTCATTTCTGAAATTCCATTTAGAATGAGATTATAGCTCTGGAAAAATCCCCAAAACAGAAATTGTTCATCTCAATTTTCTTTCTTTCTTTCTTTCTCTCTTTCTCTCTCTCTCTCTCTCTCTCTCTCTCTCTCTCTCTCTCTCTCTCTCTCTCTCTCTCTCTCTCCTTTCTCAACCCATGAGAAAAACAGGCTAATAACCTCTTCCAACAAAGCCATAATTATGATTTCTGAGTGACTTCCTGCTGGTAGTCAGAAACAGGTTTGAAGGGGACAATACTCTTGGTGAGAAAGAGGACACATTAGAACAAATACATTATTACATGTGACGAATAATTGTGTATCCTGTGGTGCCAGACAATGCAATGTCTAGTCAGTCATTAATAACAGAAACACCGTCAGACAGGAGAGGGAGGAGGTCATGGGAGGGGAAAGAGGTGGGTGTCTTGTTCAGTACCAATCAACCACCTCCAGCCTAGTGTGAAACCTTGGATCCATACCAAATGGCATCCTGTTCCCTATATAGTACACTCAGAACCCTGTATTTATGGTCATGTCTAGAAGGGATGCCGCTAATGTATTTAGAATCTTTAGACATTCAGTTACAAAGCATTATTGAAATATTCCCCATGTAATGGGGCACTAACATGGCTGCCATACAATGTTGTAGTGTAAATGCCCATTTAAGCTTAATATCCTTGTCATCTATCGCCCTCCAGGTTCCCTTGGAGAGTTCATCAATGAGCTTGACGCCTTGATAAGTTCCTTTCCTGAGGATGGCTCACCCCTCACAGTTCTGGGGGATTTCAACCTCCCTACATCTACATTTGACTCATTTCTCTCTGCCTCCTTCTTTCCACTCCTCTCCTCTTTTGACCTCACCCTCTCACCGTCCCCCCCTACTCACAAGGCAGGCAATACGCTTGACCTCATCTTTACTAGATGCTGTTGTTCTACTAATCTCACTGCAACTCCCCTCCGACCACTTCTTTGTATCCTTTTCTCTCTCGCTCTCCTCCAACACTACTCACTCTGCCCCTACACAGATGGTAATGCACCGTCGCAACCTTCGCTCTCTCTCTCCCGCTACCTCTCTCCTCTTCCATCCTATCATCTCTTCCCTCTGCTCAATCCTTCTCCCTCCAATCTCCTGATTCTGCCTCCTCAATCCTCCTCTCCTCCCTTTCTGCATCCTTTGACTCTCTATGTCCCCTATCCTCCCGGCCGGCTCGGTCCTCCCCTCCATCTGTTTATGCTGCTAAGGCCACTTTCTACCACTCTAAATTCCTCTAACTCTAACCCTAGGAAGCTCTTTGCCACATTCTCCTCCCTGCTGAATTCCCCCCCCCCCCCCCCCCCCCCCCCCCCCCCCCCCCTCCTCTGTGGATGACTTCGTCAACCATTTTGAAAAGAAGGTTGACGACATCCGATCCTCGTTTGGATCTTGCGACTTGTGACGGCAGGCCGCCCAACAACCTGCCCGCTTGACCCTATCCCCTCCTCTCTTCTCCAGACCATCTCCGGTGACCTTCTCCCTTACCTCACCTCGCTGATCAACTCATCCTTGACCGCTGGCTATGTCCCTTCCGTCTTCAAGAGAGCGAGAGTTGCACCCCTTCTCAAAAAACCAACACTCGATCCCTCTGATGTCAACAACTACAGACCAGTATCCCTTCTTTCTTTTCTCTCCAAAACTATTGAGCGTGCCGTCTTTAGCCAACTCTCTTGCTATCTCTCTCAGAATGACCTTCTTGATCCAAACCAGTCAGGTTTCAAGACTGGTCATTCAACTGAGACTGCTCTTCTCTGTGTCACGGAGGCTCTCCGCACTGCTGAAGCTAACTCTCTCTCCTCTGCTCTTGTCCTTCTAGACCTGTCTGCTGCCTTTGATACTGTGAACCATCAGATCCTCCTCTCCACCCTCTCCGAGCTGGGCATCTCCGGCGCGGCTCACTCTTGGATTGCGTCCTACCTGACCGGTCGCTCCTACCAAGTGGCGTGGCGAGAAGCTGTCTCCGCACCACGTGCTCTCACCACTGGTGTCCCCCAGGGCTCAGTTCTAGGCCCTCTCCTATTCTCGCTATACACCAAGTCACTTGGCTCTGTCATATCCTCACATGGCCTCTCCTATCATTGCTCCGCAGACGACACACAACTAATCTTCTCCTTTCCCCCTTCTGATAACCAGGTGGCGAATCGCATCTCTGCATGTCTGGCAGACATATCAGTATGGATGACGGATCACCACCTCAAGCTGAACCTTGGCAAGACGGAGCTGCTCTTCCTCCCGGGGAAGGACTGCCTGTTCCATGATCTCGCCATCACGGTTGACAACTCCGTTGTGTCCTCCTCCCAGAGTGCAAAGAGCCTTGGCGTGACCCTGGACAACACCCTGTCGTTCTCCGCTAACATCAAGGCGGTGACCCGATCCTGTAGGTTCATGCTCTACAACATTCGGAGAGTACGACCCTGCCTTACACAGGAAGCGGCACAGGTCCTAATCCAGGCACTTGTCATCTCCCATCTGGATTACTGCAACTCGCTGTTGGCTGGGCTCCCTGCCTGTGCCATTAAACCCCTACAACTCATCCAGAATGCCGCAGCCCATCTGGTGTTCAACCTTCCCAAGTTCTCTCACGTCACCCCGCTCCTCCGCACACTCCACTGGCTTCCAGTTGAAGCTCACATCTGCTACAAGACCATGGTGCTTGCCTACGGAGCTGTGAGGGGAACGGCACCTCCGTACCTTCAGGCTCTGATCAGTCCCTACACCCAAATGAGGCATTGCGTTCATCCACCTCTGGCCTGCTGGCTCCCCTACCTCTGCGGAAGCATAGTTCCCGCTCAGCCCAGTCAAAACTGTTCGCTGCTCTGGCACCCCAATGGTGGAACAAGCTCCCTCACGACTCCAGGACAGCGGAGTCACTCACCACCTTCCGGAGACATTTGAAACCCCACCTCTTTAAGGAATACCTGGGATAGGATAAAGTAATCCTTCTACCCCCCCCTTACCCCAAAAAAATATATATATATA